CTTTTCTAGGCTGGGGTACAGAAGCGCAGATTGAAGGGGTTATACTGGTAGGGGAAGGCCTAGGTCTGATTAGCTCCAATGAACCTTTAAGTGTGTGCTTTCGTCTGTCTTTCACCTGTGGTCTGGGCTCTGGGTTTTGGTATCTTTGTAGGTCTGTTTATGATAACTTTCTCTGGGAGTACATGATGGTCCATGTTTCCTGGCCTAGTGGGGGTTGGTTACAGTACATGAGGAGAGAACTCACTGGTTGATAACTCAAATTATTGTTTGATTGCACATATTTCATGCTCAATTATAATTATACATCCAGAGTCATTTCCCCCACCATACTAAAAGCTCTATGAGTACAGTGGACATTTAAACATTTTTCTAATTTGAAAGTGAGATTCTTTAAATGCTAAGCCTCACTTATAATAAAAGAAATGCAAGTTAAACACACGCAATACCAGTTTTCACCAATCAGATCAGCCAAGATGGTTTTATTATTTTTCAATTTCTTAGTATAGGCAGTTATGATCAATCAGTCTCAGGAATGGCTCTTGGAAATGTAAACTGATACAAACTTGCCAGAAAAAAATTGTAATACCTGTTATGAATTTACGTTCTTTCCTGTAGTGGTTAAAAGTGTATACTGTGGACTCAGTGTGGCTATGACACAGGTGAGTGAATGGCTTAACCTCTGAGCCTCAGTTTCCTCATCCTTAAACTGGGGTAATAGCATTGCCTACTTCATCTTTTCAAATGAGATCATGCATTTAAATTAATTGGTATAGTGCTTGATATACATTAAGAGCTCAATAAATGTAAGCTATAATAATATGAATTGCACTCTTTTGATACTGTTTCTTAGGATGTAATCTAAAATGCACAATGTCTTATCAGGGCCTTAATTGTAAAAGTGAACAAATTGGAAGTAAATGTTCAAGTATAAGAAATATGGTAGTGTTTTGTTCATCTATAATGCTGGAATATTATGTAGCCACTAAAAAATGATATTTACAAACAGTCCCTAATAGCATGTGGCATACTGGTATTGAGTAGAAAAAAAAAATTTACATGACTACATTTAATATAATCTCATCTATGTAAAAATCTATAGATGTAAAATTGTATAGAAAAAGAACTAAGAAAAGTGTCAATGTTAGTAGTTATTTACTCTGAAAGTCCTCTACTTAGAGTGATTTTTATGTTTATTCTTTGTAAAAATATTTTCGATATTTTCTTTGTAGTCAGCAAAATAAAACCTCAAGATCCCTGTTTGAGTGCTGCTTAGCCCCTCTCCTGCATGGCAGAGCACAGTGGGCCCCTGGACTTGGGCCTGAAGCTCACTTACAGGTGGTGTCCAGAGGGACTAGCCACTTGTAGCCTGTCACGCCTGAGTTCTTTCTCTGCCCTCGGGAACTATACTTTTCTGACTATAAATCAGAACCCTGGTATTAATCCTCAAGCCCTTGTTGCTCTGATTTCTGGCTTCTTTCCCTGTACATCATAACTCATTTTGAGCTCTCCCAAGGAATTCTCTCCTGCAAAGAGATTTTGACTTCCAAGCCTCTCAAGACAGAGGTGTTTCCTAGGTTTTAGGAATTTATTTTTCTTTTCTAGTTGGTTTAATAAGTCAGTCAACCTTTAGATTGACTTCAGAGCAAGATTTCAGAGCATATTTATTCTAAGGGGTCTTCTCTTGGGGGCTTGTATATGAGAGCTGGGAAGAGAGGTTTGCATGAATGCATTCACATGGGACCCATTCAGATTGTTTTTTCAGGATGAATCTGTTCATAGGATTGGGTGTCCAGCATGACTTTTAAAACCGTGTAAGAATGGATAAAGAATGAATATAGGTAGTAAACAAAAAGAGTTAGAGTTCAACTTTCCAGACTTGGGTAGTTAGTCTCGTTTCTAAGGTAAAATTAAAAACTAACTTNCATGAATGCATTCACATGGGACCCATTCAGATTGTTTTTTCAGGATGAATCTGTTCATGGGATTAGGTGTCCAGCATGACTTTTAAAACCGTGTAAGAATGGATAAAGAATGAATATAGGTAGTAAACAAAAAGAGTTAGAGTTCAACTTTCCAGACTTGGGTAGTTAGTCTCGTTTCTAAGGTAAAATTAAAAACTAACTTGGACTAATGTGATGTTTTGGACAACCTGCAGTTGATTGTTTTATGTTTTCAGGTATCATTTATTGATTTTTCCTCATGTCTGGGTACTTGCTCATACAATGTGGTATGTCTGGTGATTGATCCTATGCCTTCTTAAGGCTTAATATGGAGTCATGCAGAGAGGCAGAGGCCTTGAGTGATTTGGGAGTCTCTGAAACTCTTGTGCCCTTTCTGCTGCCATCTGGCAGTTGTAAACCAAAATATGACACAAACCGCCATGTTTGGTTTTAGACCTCCTGAGAATGGGACTGGGTTAAGAGGATAGAAGAAGATGAGGGTTGTGTGGAACATCTACATTTATCAGTCAGGTAGAGGGAGAGGAAAGGGTCCAGTTAAGAGGAGCTTAGGATAAAGCATGCAAAGGGGGCAGGAAGTCATGGAGGAGGGGTGGGGGTGGGGGTGAGGTCCAAAGTGTGTGCTGCAGAGATTTCAGGCAGGTTGGGAGGCAGAGAAGTCCAGAGATTTGTATCAAGAGGCAGTCAGAGACCTTGTCAAGGCAATACCACAGTAGAATTGTGGAAGCTGAAGGCAGTGAGGTGAGGAATTAGGGGCAAGGAAGGTGGATGGTGAAGGGAAAGCAAGAGGCGGGGCTGATGTAGAGGAAAGCTTTTGTGGGGGTGGTGTAGTAATGTGTGTTTGGAGGTCGAAGTCAAGGGTGAAAAGAGGGGGTAAAAGATTCAATCATGTTGAAGTAAGGTTCAAATAATGCTGAAAATCAGATTAAAGATGTGCATAGAGGAATTAGCCATTTCATCCTGAGAGGGGAGAAGAAATGAAAGAAAGATGGGTCAGAAAGATGTTTGAAAAATATCGAAGGTGCTCGAACTTGATGAGCTGAATGAAGTAGAGGATGAGACACTGTGGAAGGAGGTGGAAGCCTGGGGGCAGGGTGGCAGTGGTCCCCAGAGGGGAGAGGGAGGGTTTATAGGAGCAGCTGCCATGAGAGTGAGAAGGAATGCCCATAACCTAGGTTTACACGCCTTGAGAACTGATTAATACACATTACACTCCTCATTTAAACAGTTTCTAGAGAGCCCCACAAGAGCAGACAAATCCATAAATATTTATTTATTATACCCACAGAATACTCCAGAGATCTGCTTTCTTTCTCTTCAAAGCATCCCCCTTTTCATTTCTCTAATTGCACACTAGAGAAAGCTTCAGTTAGATGCAACTAGTTTTTAGACCACTGAACACCCGCAGGTCTTGTTAATGCATGCCTGAGCCCAGAACTCTGTGTAAGCACTTGTTTGAAAGAGGAAGAGGCCATGGCTTTTCAAATAATGGAGCCTTGAGTCAGTAATGCTTCCCAGGTTTCTAATCCTAATATGTACATGTACCCACTCATTAAAGTAATCATAAAACACAGTTACCTCCATTTGCTCCAGCAACTTTCAAAGCTTTTTGAATCCCTTTTGCTCCTGGCACTGTGAGGGGGGCACAGGAAAAAGAGAACAAAAAGGTTGGCATTGTGTGAAATCATCAGAGGGAAATACCTTCCTTATCATATATTTCTCAATCCAGTGATCATTTCCTTTATAATTTACTGAAAGGCTATAATGAGGATTGATTTGGCTCTTAGGAGATCAAGAATTGTTCCTAATGTTGGCAAAAGACTGCCTGTAATTTGAAACTCCCAAGTTCAGAGAAAGGTCAGGGGGCTGTTAGTTTGCCTGTTGCTAGAAGAGTCAGCATTTTTTAGGAGGATGTTTTTGGTTCAACCTCTGGAGTGGCTATAAAGGTTCTAGAAAGACTTCTGTAGATGAGTGTATACTGCATATGGGATTGAGATCTGCTAATGCAGGGGACACATCTCACATGGGCAGGACAAGTATATCACTGAGGGCATAAAGGACCTGCTTTATCAGATTTCAGAGGTCAGGCATTCTGTTTTATGGATAAGGATTCATTAGTCTAAATATTACAAGAAATCACAATCTATATCTACAAGATTATGAGATGAAACAAGACATTGTATAACCAGAACTTTTTCTTCTCTTACCTAGGTCTTTACTCTTTTTTCATTATGGTGGGTAGTTCAGGATTTGTGGATTTTCTTCCACCTTTGGGATGGAGGATGATAAATGGGACTTGAAGGGTAATTACCACTTAAAAGAGGGCAGAGGACATTTTCATCTATAACAGGAGCTGAACACTATCCAGTTCTTTAATTAAAGGATGCCTATTATTTGGGGGAGAATAAGAGACAGTGTTGGCCATCCAGATTATTTGTCTTCTAGCTTTCATCACAACTGGTATGATGGAGCTTCTGAGAACTACGTATTGGGTCAGAAAAGGACTTTTCTACTTATAACTTTTCTTCATAACTCTACCTGTAGTTAAAGACTAAAATTTTCCACCAGCTCAACCCAGTTCTCTGCTAACCCCAACCCCCCATAGCAGTACGCGAGACTGGTATGCTGACTCCAGAGGCCGCCCTGTGGAGGGCACTGAGCACTGTGAAGGGGGATGCCCTGCACTAAGGTTCCCGGAGCTCTTGGGGGAGATGTTGATAGTATTGGTGATACTGTCGCTGTTAGTCTGACAGTTGTCTCTTTGCCCCTAGCAAGTATCTCACTTGCTGCCCTCATATATGAAGGTCGTTCAGTTGGAAGAGGACGAAACTCAATTTCTGTGCTGGGCCTGGCCATTTACTAAACACATCAAACACACAATTTGTACAGGTCCCAAGCTTCTACTTTTCTGACAGATGGTGCCTTTTAGCTGCTCTCTGGCTGGCTGTGACCTAGCAGTGGCAGTTACAGTCCCTTCTGCCTCTGATCAGACTTGGTGTGCATATCATCCATGCCTTTTCTGTGCTGCCCTGCCCTCTCCAGACTGCCATCCTCTGTGCCAGCACTGTGTGGCTGATCTCCACAGCCCTGGGAGCATCTGTCTGAGGTGCCAGAATGACCGGTACCTGCTGCTAGGGGACCACTGTGCTCCCAGTTGCCCTTCTGGATACTACACAGAGAGAGGAGCTTGTAAAAGTGAGTAAGTGCTGGACACAGGAGCTGACGGTGTCCGTGAGCTTCCATCTGGGCGGCACCTCCACCGTCAGCTTCCATCTGGGCGGCACCTCCTGAGAGAGGCAGGAGGCAGGCAGCACATGGGGACAGTAAGCCATATTGGCCAAGGCTCTTGTGTCAGGGATTTTATTAATGGCTCTTGGGATGCTGCTTCAAACGGTTTGGCTTCATAGACTCTATTTGTGTCCCTTTTCCCTTTGCAGAGTGTCACTCCTCCTGCAGAACTTGCCAGGGCAGAGGACCCTCCTCCTGCTCCTCATGTGGTGTCGGCCTCACCCTGTCCCACCGCGGCACCTGCAGCACCAGCTGCTTCCCAAGGCACTATCCCGATGACAACCATGTTTGCCAGCGTAAGTTTTTTAAAATGAACTTTCTCTCCTTTACTGCCCTTCTGGGTTCATCAAAAGAAATATGAAGTTCTTGCTTCCATATTCTCACCTGGTAACCTTTATTGTTTACAAAAGGAAGAAAATTAATCTACAGTGACATCTGGGCACCATTAGAAGATTGTAGCTCAGATACCAGCCTAATCAGAAGTGCTAGCCTAGGAATCTCCTCTGCAAGTACCAGCTGTGTGACCTTGGACCATTTAACCTCTCTGCTCTCTAGATAGCTCATTTAAAAAGCAGAAGTATTAGCCTGTTTCATTCTTATGCTTTCTCTCAGCAACTCATTCCCAAGATCCTCAGCAGAGAGTATAGCTCATTTTAGTAGACAGTGACCTAAGTACTTCCCTGGATTTAATTGGTTTTCTATATGTATTTGTTGAATACTGACAGTGTACAAGACTTGACATGCTACAAAGCATTCAGTTTCTGCCCAAATAGTAGGTTTTTTTTATCTTGAATGAGAATCACTTGTGTAGATGTCTTATTTCTCAAAGAAGTCAAAATATGATTAATCATCCAAGTCAGGCACAAAGAGGATAAATTAGAGAAAGGGAAAATCTGAGTAGAAAAAAATAGAAAATCCTTCACAGATGAAGAAACATTTTTGAGATAGGCTGAGGTGACTTATTTTATTTCAATTATAGAATTTGCAAACAAAATTCTGCTTTCCTTTCTCATTTTGAAAATGATAGTTAACAAATAGAGTGCTGCTATTTCAATTTTATGTCCCAGGAAGTACTACATTGAAAGAATTATAGTGTAGTGGTAAGAGTGGGCCCTAGAGTTAGGTGACTGAAGTTCAGATCCTAACTGCCACTTGCTAGCTGTGTGACCTTGACCAAGTGACTTAGCCGCTAGGCTTCAGTTCTTTTTCCATCCAAGGGGAATGGAATAGCACCTACGTCTAATGTTTTGTCACTTAGCACAGACCCTAGCAGAGAATAAGCTTTCCATATAGATTAGTTATTGTTGTCATCATCGTCATCATCTAGAATGAGAGGCAAATCAAGCAGTTAAAGATATTTTTACTTTATAGAGTTAGTTTATTACTGTTAGGTAATTACTGTTATTTTGTTGAGATGCTTGCAAGGATTTGCATTTGAAATGATGAAATGACATTATATGGAACTCACCATTTTTCACCACCTGTTGATAAACTAGGGATAAAAATCCTTTTGAACCAATGAAAAGGCTTCTTTACTTTTGTAACAAAAACTTTCCTTGATATATATCAACTGTCTGCTAGAATCTGTAGATGCTGTAACATGAGAGACACAAATGAAATACTTGTGTGCTCTGTTCAAGAGCAAGAGACTGTTGATGGGAAAATAGTGACTTAGATTTATGAGGTTCTTCACAGCAGTGGTATCACAGAAATAAAAGTTCAAAAGAAAAAATAAAATCCCTTATATGGAGTGTAGATGACAAAAATACATTGCATTGAAATATTTCTCCTCTGGTAAGCTTTTGCCTTGGTGCAGGGTGATCTCTGCACAAATGCATTTGCAATGCTACCATGCAAATAGGATTTCACAGACCATTTTAGTTAATGTAAGAATCTCCTAGCTTTAGTCCTTTGCTGAAGTCTAGTTTCATTTTTTTAAAGATTGAATAAAGCATGCCCCTAAATTGGGATATTGGAGTTTCTCATATGTAAAAATAATCAACAATGTCCCATTCTATAATAGTCATGATCATGGATGATTATAGGCCTGACAGTTTTAGACATTGTGCAGTAATGGGTTCTTAAGGAAATAAAATCAGTATTGAGGTGAGGCATTAACCATATTATAGAAGACTGTCAGAGCTAAAGAGCTGTCCAGTTTCTAGTTACAGAAATGTTTAGAAATTATATACTAAGCTCTAAAATTTAAGGGTGACCAGTTGAGGCAGGAACTTTAAAAAAGAAATGATAAATGAGTTTCTCAGCACTTGAAACCATAGTGCCTGGAGCCCAGGAAGAGAATGCCAGCCTGCCCAGCCAACCTTGTACCAATGCAGAGGGTTCTTCTTCACACCCCCATATGCCTCTGCAGGGGAGGGAGGCCAGGTTCATTGCTGGGGGTGGTCATTGGTTAGTTGTTAGGTCTTTCTCATTAGCCCTAGAACTTCCCTGTGGAGCAACGTGGAATAAGTCTCTTCCCTCATTCACATGATTACCTTCAAAAGTTTGAAATGGTCATTTAACTCTCATTTCCTACTTGGACTTCTCTGCTTCAAACACAAGTGGAGCCAGTGGAGTATTTAAGCAGAAATGGGTGACCCTCTCTCAGCTGCTGGTTTCAGAGGGAGAATGGGCTTAATAGTTCATGAGGTCCCTTCTCTGCCCATGAGCAATGGTTAAAGTACATCCCTGCTTCCCTCACTGGTTTCTGGGCCACCTGCTACCTGCTTCACCGTGCTCTCAGCACTTTCCACAGGGTCAGCCATCTCAGAGAACTGCACCTGGCACGCCAGATGTGGGTCCACCAACACAACTGCGGTAGGACAAACCCTGTGTGGTCTGAGTATCATAAAATGGGGAAAATGCTCATTACCCGCATTCCTTTGGAGATGGAAGCTTAGTACCCACGGGGCCCTGGGATGCGCAGAACTGCTCTGAGTGAGACCATTGCCTTGGAGAGGGGTGAGGGGTTCAATGAGAGAGGAATGAGAGTCCAGATAGAAATGGTGGGAGCCTCCTGCTTCTCGGAGACACTGCTGCATCCCTTCAAGTCTTCTATCTAGTCTCCTAACAGTTCAAAATGCTTGGCACCAATCCATTTCTTTTGGAAGTTACTGAAGGGACTGAATTATGCTTCGCGGTACCAGTGGGGAATGGAAGGTGTCATAGAAGGAGTCAGGAGCATGGAGACAGGCAGAAGCTTGAGGAAGTAAATGACAAGAAACTCTTAGCAGCCAAGATAGCATTCACCTGTCTCCTCAGGCCAAGGAACTGGCATTTGGGCCTCATTTTGCAGCTCCAGGTCAAGAAGGTGGGTCCAGCTGACATTAGTTACATGAAGGCTCTTCCATTTAAGATTATGATAGTTTCATTAGTAACCACATCACACTTTCAGTAAGTTTTTAATCAACTAAAATGCTTAGATCATTTTTCATAGGAATTGCTGTCTAAACAGGTCTGTGTTCTCGGCTTATGCAATTGGGTATATAAATTTAGGTCTTTACTTATGGTTTTGGTTATCACATCTGATTACTTTTAGTTTATTGCTCTAACTGGTTAACATAAGTTTGAGTTGTTCTTTGAGCTGGTGAAACTTAATTATGTGTTCACCCTGTGTAAGTTTATGTGGCATATTTAAATATCATTTGCATGATTTGTTTTCATTAAAGTCATTAATAACAGTATCAATCAAGTAAAAAATGAAGACTTCATCATAGTACTCTACAAAGGCACTTCTTTTACCAAGTACAAAAAGTTACTGGTAGTTTTTTGATTATGTATTTCAACCATTGTCAATCTACCTACAACTATGACCCCATTCCATTTTTGTATTCACAAGTTAATTTTGGGGATGTTTGTCAAATCCTTTGCCCATGTTAAGGTACACCATGGGTAGAAATCCTCACCAAAAAAAGGGGTTAAATAGTTTCATGCAAGTTTCCAAAAATTAAAATAGTCTTTTCTAATTATTTTCAAAGTATTTGAAAATCCAGTCTAGATTTTCCTAGGACCTTTAATTACCAATGTACACATTCTAATGAATATTTTATACCAATGGTATTTCTTATAGGTGAAATGAGGACTTTGTATTTTCAGGGAGGTAATTTTCCTGCACTATGCTACATGCTTTGATACTCTATAGATCTAAGGCTCTCATGATCACTCTCTAGATTTTTCCTCTGACATAGAGAAGATTTCAGAATGAGTCAGGGATGCTAGTGCTTGATTATTATATGGTTACAGTATCTGGCTTCTTTCATTTATTAGCAAGTGTTTATTGAACACCTATAATATGATAGGTGCGGGGGACTATTTCAAGGAACAAAATGAACCTGGTCTTTGCTTTCATGAAGCTTACAACTTAAAGTTGTTAAATAATTGCTTAAATAAAAATTGTTATGGATAGAATGAATGAAATGTCTAGGGTACCATGTGAGCAGTAGCTGAGAGATCTGTTCTAGACAGGAGAGTCAGGGAAGGCCTTCTTAAAGAAGAGACTGAAGATGAATAAGAGTTCAAGATAAGGGACTTGAAGGTTATATTGAGAGGATTCAAATATGCGTATTAAGATTTCTTGTGGAAAGAATGGAGGGAATGAGGAGGAGCAATATTTGCAGAAATGAAGGCTGGAAATTTTTCAGTATTGAAGAAAGATGTGTTTGTAGATGAATGTTGTCCTCTGAAACCTGAGCAGGATGAATTTTAAAAATCTCTCTTGTGAATACATGGAAAATAAAATGCAAGGAGGTCAAACTGAATATCAGGAAACTAGTTAGGAGACTATGATGGTAATCCAGTAGGAGATGGAGATGGAGTGGATGTGTTGGCATTTGGGGATATGGAGAAAAGCAGCAAGTTCTGAGAATCATACAGAAGAGAATTATGTATAAATAGGATCGAATGAATGATTGGATTAGGTGTGAGAGAACAGGAGGTGTTAAACAGACAGACTCCAAGGTTTCTAACATGAATAAGTGAGTAGATGGAGAAAGGGCTAGTTGTTAAAGTAAGGAAAATGGAAGTGTGAGCAGATTTGGGGATCATTCCTGAATGTCTGAATTAAGTGACTGCTAAGAATTACAACTGGGCAAATCAATAAGCTAGGTCACCTTTAAGTCCTTTAAAATGTGGAATTTCCTGAGCTCCACAATAAAGCTGATGCTTCATTTTAATCTCAGCATCACACAAAAGTCTGAACCTACATCATGAACTATAGCAGAATTGATTTTTAAGAAGTAAGGTTTAAATAAAATTCTGGACTATTATTCCAGAGATCCTGGGATAAATATAAATTCTGTTGCTAAATCACAGGCAATTTAGGTATAAGTTTTCCATTCTTGGGTTTATAATTTATCTTCTCTGGAAAATAAAACTACCCATTTTTACTTTGGAAAATAAGATCAACATTTTCTGTTTACATTGATCACAGGGGAGAGTTACGAGCCAAAATTAAAAACAGTTTGTCGCAAGCCTTTATTCCTTTGTGGTATCTGTCTAGGCTTGATCAGTGCTAGTTCTAATCATCTGGTCATTTTCTTCTCCTCTCTGCTCAGCATGCAATGCCCATTGTAGCAGCTGTGATTCTCAGGCCAGCTGTACCTCCTGCCGAGACCCAAACAAGGTCCTGCTCTTTGGGGAATGTCAGTATGAGACCTGTGCCCCACAGCACTATCTTGACTTCTCCACCAAGACATGCAAAGGTAAATAAAGCTCTTCCAGAATTGTACAGCGATTCTTTTACTCAGTGTTGCCCCTTTCCTATAGATATCCAGTTCCCTCATTGGGAAAATACTGTCATCATATGTTTTGACTCTCTCTGAAAGTCAAGAAGACATTATGCATGCATTTATTCATTAAGCCACTGATTTGTTTACGAAGCAAATATCTTTGAGCACCTCCTATGTGTCAGACATTGTGCCAGGTGTTGGTGACTAGACCAGAGGTGGCAAACTGGAAACACTCAGGTTGTATTTGGTCCAATATGCATTTTTTTTGGCCTACCTAATATTCCAATGTTTTAAATTTGTAATTATTTGCCTTTTAAAAATCAGCTGACCTCACATACAAAAATTGAGATTATGTTTCTTTTTGAAAAAGCCAGGAGGTCCAGCAATATGGGATGTACATTTCCACAGTGCAGCAGTAGGTTGGAGATGAGCATCTGTTACTTCCATTGGCTGAAGTATGATCTCTTCAGGTCCCCAGAGTCCCCTTCATTCCCTATTCTACCACACTAGTCCTATTTCAAAAATCTGTACTACCTTCCTGGGCCCTATAAGCGCTTGGAAGTACAACTCTAGATTGTTTTACTCTAAGCTTAATGAGGACAGGAGTTGTTTCTGATCTGTTCATCTCTGCTCAATGTACTTAAAGGACTGAAGACACAATCCCTGTGCTCAAGGAGTTTGTAAGGAGGTAATGTCAAAAACCGAATGCTTTTTCCTTGTTCTCCAATGGTTGGAATTCTTGGGTCTCCTGCTCTTTGAATGGCAGTGTTCAGCAAGGAGAAAAACAGTTGAAGAATGGGTTTTCCGTGTTCCTATTCCATTTCCCTGCTCTATTCCTCGATTCCATGTTTCCCCATCTCACCAGTTCTGCCAGCGAAGCTGTGCTCAGATATGGAGGTCAAACATGTGTCAAGTAAACTTGGGATGCATTAAAGCTTTGCAAAATTGTACACATTCCATTCCAAGAAATTCTTCTTGGTTATGCATGTAGGTGGTCTGCTTGTACTCAAGACCACAGAAGCTTTGCTGTTTTTTTTCCCTTCTAAGCAGTGGTTGTCAGTTTGTGGTGAAAAACAAGATCATCACAAATCCTCCCTGTTGTAAGTGATTTTGTAACTGTGCTGACAGTTTTCAAGGCTCTGTTTTAGTCATTCTCCCTCAGGTCTGATTCACCCAAATAAATGAGTGAGATTAACTTCATAAATCTTCCTGGAAACACGTGTATTATCTTTCACATTTACCTGCTTCTTTGGGACTTAAAAATATTGCATCAAGGAAGAGAGAAAGGTGACTAATGAGAGGTTTCCACAACTTCTTAGGGGGAAGGGAGGGTGGCGATGAGGCAGTACTAAGGGGAGATATGTGGGGAGATATGTTCTCTAAGAAAAACAGTTCAGCAGCAAACATTTATTAAGCTGTTACTATGTGTCAGGCACTGGGTTAACTTCTTTACATTCATTATTTCATTTCCTCTTCACCGTAGTCTCACAAGACAGGGACTATTCTTATCCCTGTTTTATAAATGAAGAGTCGAGGCTCAAAAAGTTTAAGGAAGGTGTGTAAGACATGCCACTAAAAAGCCAGGACTTGGATACAGACTTGCCTGGGTTCAAAACCTGAGTGCTTCACCACGCCCCCTTGTCCATCGCCCATGCATGAAGGGCAGACCTACCAGCTAGAGCTTTGCCTTGCAAACAGGAGTTTTCTGACTGTGCCAGTAATAACTCTAATAATAACAAAACAACAGTAGCAGAAGCAATGGGTTCCTGTGCCTCAGTGCTTGAGACTGACTCGATACTTCCCCTGTTGACCCTGATAATCTGTATTTCTGATGATCTCCCTGGATTATTTGGCTGTACATCAAAGGTTGGAACCCATGAGAACATAAATTCCTGGAAGACAGGGTCTGCCCATGTGATGCGCACCATCCAGGGCTGTGCATCCTGTGCGTGCTTGGTGGGTGAAGCTCCAGGTAAATGAGTCCACTCTACTGCTCTTCAGTTATTTCAGTACACCCTTTCTTTCTGAACAGCTCCTTTAGTCCCATTAACTTGTAGCATCACTGGTTCTTGCTGTCATGTTTGTCAACCCCCAGTGTTTGAGAGGTAGCTTCATGCAGCTGGTATCAGTGGAGGCAGCAGATGAACTCTTAGTTGAGTCTCTGATATCCTGCCACCTGTGAAACATCTGGAAGAGGTCCAGATTAGGTTGGTGGAAGCAGATTGGCCACTCCCTGTAGCAGGCTTTGCATGAAGACACAGTAGCACAAGTATAAAGAAGTCTGCGGCACATGGAAGATCAAATTGATCTGCCTCCCTGGCAGCCCCAATGACAAGCAGGCTCTGCACGAGCATGGAGGGACTCTTGTGCATGCCATGTCTAACCTAATTAGGAAACACTAAACCTCAGGGAGGTGTTCAGACTACTACAAGCAGAAACCTCATAAGAGCTCACTTAATCTGACATCTCTTATGTTAGCCTCACTTTACCCCTTGCAGCTGCAGTCAGTGTCCTCATAAATGAGTCTCTGGGACTGAGGGTGGACAGGAAGAAAGGTGATCTAATGTAGACTTTCTTTCTAGAGTGTGACTGGAGTTGCAATGCATGCAGCGGGCCTCTGAGGACAGACTGCCTGCAGTGCATGGATGGCTACGTTCTCCAGGATGGCGCCTGTGTGGAGCAGTGCTCACCATCATTTTACAGGGACCTGGGCTTCTGCAAAAGTAAGTGGCTGAAGCCCCTGCTCTGTGCTCACCCATGCATCAGCCTCCTCTGATTTTTACTGTTCTGAGAAGGAACTTGTGGCAAGTTTCTTTTCTGGCTTTTTATCTAATTTCTGGTTTCTTTCCGAATAGCATTTCTTTGTTATAATAAGAATATCCCTTCTTTCCTTCTCCCATGCTCAAGTACAACATTTGCTAACATTTGAGGTCAGTATGGGAATCTTGTGGCTATATGGCAGCCATGCAAAGCAGTATGTTTTGACCAGTACATTTGGATTTCCTTAAACATTGAATATTAAACATTTGGATTTCTTAAGCTTTTGGATTTCCTTAAATGTTCCTGATGGGGAGGTTTGTGGGCTCTGGTCATTTGAGTACATGGAAAGACCATATTGTTCCAGTATATGCCCCCACAACCTTGCATATACCTGATATCTCAGCAGTTCCTTTCTTGGTCCCAAATCCCCCTTCAGCCTTGATTTAATACCACAAAATCTTCAGACCCTGAAATACCCACCTGAAGTGCACAGACAGCATTCCTGGGAGCATTCTTAGGATATGCTGGTAACTGACTGGGTGAGTCAGGAAAGACTGACACCTTGGTGAAGCTGTACAGAGAGCCAAGGACAATTTAATAATAATAATAACAGCTAATACCCATTTCCAGCTTGCCTTATCTTTTCATTATTTAACTTGATCTTTACTCAGGGAGCCAGGTAGGATAGTATGTCCACTTCCATTTTATAGGAGAGAGCACTGAGGCTCAAAGAAGTTGAGTCTCAAATCCTAAATCACCTAGCTGGTAAGTACGGCAGCCACACCAGAAGCCTGGCTCCTTGACTGCTAGCCTTCTGCTTTGCCCAGCACGCCAGCTTGTATTGCTGCTTGGCATCTAATGTTGCCTTACCACATGGGCCAGGAGCCACTCACATCCCTGTGGACTGGACTTTTGTCTTTCAGGCTGCGACAGCCACTGTCTCCAGTGCCAAGGTCCCCATGAGTGCACTCACTGTGAAGAGCCATTTCTCCTATTGGAAGCCCAGTGTGTCCAGGAGTGTGGGAAGGGGTACTTTGCAGATCATGCAAGTCACAAATGCACAGGTAACTTGGAGCCAGTGCTGAGTTCTTTGGAAAAAATTAAAGCAGCAAGTAAATCCTATGTGCTAATTCTCAGGTCACCAGGGAGAATCTGAATTAGAAGCAGAATGCAAACCCAGGGAGCTTGGCCTAAGTAATTGATAGCTTCCCATGCACATCTGCCAATTGCTGGGAAAATAGAATTTAGAAGTACAAGCCAGTAATTCTGTTGCACAAGTCAATATTGTCCCTAAAGGTCTTTATGGAAACAAAGTCAATTATTTTATGGAACGTAAGACTTACATTGAACTAAGGTAAGGTATCCATTAAGAGTGGATCAGTCCTATAGATATGGGCACAGAATTTTCAGTGTGTAGACTAAATTACTGGTCACCCTGATATTGGCATAATAATATCCTTGAAGAGTAGGCTTTCTGGGGACAACTTAGTAAGACACACTGAACTTTAATTGTTAAACTAAAGCTAAATCCAATGTCTTAATCTCCTTGTCCATTAAATAATCCACAAGTTTCCTCAGTTTTCATCATTTCTATCAAAACTTGGTGCCCCACTTTAAAGAATACCTGATATTTAATAATAATACCATTACAAGGGCAAAGCATTTACATTACACCTAATTCTCTCTTTCTGTATTATCTCGTTTAATGTTCACAATGACTTGGTAAGATATAGCAGACATATGAGTTCTGTTTTACAAGTGAACAGAAAAAAAAAGAGGCTTGAAAGTATTAACGAGGGCAACACAGAATCAGTTTTAAACCCCAGATTTCTAATTCCAATCCAGGGGCCTTTAAACTCTACTATGCTGCCTCCCTATAACAAAACCTCAACAAAGGAAGCAGAAAAATTAGGCAGTGAACACTCAATTTATACAAGATTATTAGCTTGACCCAAAGAAATGATCCTATGGTCATTTAAATAGTTTGTTCTACTTGTGCATTTAAAATAATAATAATAATTTTAAAATTAATAATAATAAGAGTAACAGTGATAGTGTGGAGCCATTGAGCCCTTTTGTTGTGCCAAGCACTGTTCTACTCACTTCACATTATAACACATGCAATCCTCTGAGCAATTATTTGCATTAGGTGCCATTAGTATCTGCATTTTTAAGATGAGAAAATTGCAGCACAGATTGTTGAAGGAATTTGCCCAAGGTCGACAGCTGGTAGGTGGTAGAGGAGGAATGGTCTCAGAAAGGACCTTTGCTCTTAATCAGTATACACTGCTTCCCTTACAAGTCAATACGGTTAACTTTTTAAACACTCCAGTTATGTGCAACGTTTTCAGATCACAGCATGTAGAGCGAGTGCCCCTCTCTGTTCACTTCTCTTCGAGGGTGGATCTGCTCCCTGTGAAATTCTGTGGGGTTCTCTCTTGCTGCAGTTGGCGGTCACGTGGGTATGTTCTCCCTCCTCATTCCTCTGTTACTGGGGACCCTCCGAGTGTCTGTGCCTTTGTGTGCCTTAGTTGGTGTGTCCTCTCTTTGATAGCCTGCCCTCAGGCGTGCTCGCAGTGCAGCCACTGGGACCAGTGTCACCTCTGTGACCATGGGTTCCTTCTGAAGAAGGGCCTTTGCATTTCCAGCTGTGTTTCCGGCTTCTCTGTCCACTCCTCCAATGAAACATGTGCTGGTAAGTGCTTCTTCTGTGGTGGTCTGGTGAATTCACCTGCAGTTTCTTTGTGCACAGGCTGAGCCTGCAGATACAATTGGTTTGTGTGGTGTGAAATGTGGGAGTCCTATGCTGGGGAAACCTCTGCTGCTGCTGAGGAATAGGGACTGTTTATAGAACACAGAAATCTGGGAAAACAACTTCTGAGATCTTTGGAAGGGAAAAAAACAACTTGTGCTTTTTTTAAATTTACTTTTTATTGAAGTATAGTTGATACACAATATTATACTGGTTTCAAGTGTACAACACAGTGATTCAGCAGTTACATGTATTATTAAATCCTCACCCCAACAAGTATAGTTACCATCTGTCAACATAGAAAGATGTTACAGAGCTATTGACTATATCTCTATGCTGTACTTTCATCCCCATGACCAACTTATATTATGATTGAGGTTTTGTGCCTCTTTATCCTCCTCACCTACCCACCCCCACCCCAGCTCATCCTGTGGTAACCACCAGTCATTTCTCAGTATCTATGAGTTACTACTGTTTTGTTCATTTTATTTTGTTTTGAGATTCCACATATAAGTGAAATCATATGGTATTTGTCTTCCTTTGCCTGGCTTATTTCACTTTACATAATACCATCTAGGTCTATCTATGTTGTTCCAAATGTCAGCATTTCTTTCTTTTTTATGGCCAAATAATATTCCATTGTGTATGTGTACCATATTTTCCTTATCCATTCAGCTACTGATAGACATTTTGGTTGCTTCCATATATTGGCTATTGTAAATAATGCAGTAGTAAACATAGGGGTGCATATATCTTTTCAAATAAGAGATTTTGTTTCTTTAGGTAAATTCCTAGAAATGAGATTACTGGATCATGTGGTATTTCTGTATGTAGTTTTTTGAGGAACCTCCATACTGTTTTCCATAATGGCTGCACCACTTTACATTCCCACCAACAGTGTAGAAGGTTTTCCCTTTTCTCCACATCCTTGTCAACACTTGCTATATCTTGTCTTTTGGATAGTGGCCATTCTGACTGTGTAAGGTAATATCTCATTGTGGTTTTGATTTGCATTTCCACGATAATTACTGATGTGGAGCATCTTTTCATGTGCCTGTTGGCCTTCTGTATTTCTTCTTTGGAAAAATGTCTGTTTGGGTATTCCACTCATTTTTTAATTGGGTTATTTGTGTTTTTTTTTGGTGTTGAGGTATATGAGTTCTTCATATATTTGGTGTTAAACCCCCTTATCAGATAAATCATTACAAATATATTCTCCCATACTGTAGGTTGTCTTTTTGTTCTATGGATGATGTAGAAGCTTTTTAGTTTGATGTAGTTCCACTTGTTCATTTTTTATTTTGTTTCCTTTGCCTGGGAAGATGTGTTCAGAAAAAATTGCTCATGCTTGTGCTCGAGAGATTTTTGCTCATGCTTTCTTCTAAGAGTTTTATGGTTTCATGTCTTATATTTGGTCTTTAATTCATTTAGAATTTACTTTTGTGTATGATGTTAGATAGTAATCCAGTTTCATTCTCTTGCATGTGGCTGTTTAGTTTTCCCAAATCCAGTTATTGAAGAGACTCTCTTTTCCCTGTTGTATATTCATGACTCTTCTATCATTTATTGATTGACCATATATACATGGGTTTATATCTGCTCTCTATTCTATTCCATTGACCTATGGGTCTGTACTTGTTCCAGTACCATACTGTTTTGATTGCTGTAGCTTTGTAGTATAGCTTGAAGTCAGGGAGCAGAATACCCCCAGCATCGTTCTTCTTTCTCAAGATTGCTTTGGTTATTCTGGGTTTCTTTTTTGGTTCTGTATGAATTTTAGGATTACTTGATCTAGTTCATTGAAAAATGCCATTGGTATTTTGATGTGGATTGCATTGAATATGTAAATTGTTTTGGGCAGGATGGCTATTTTGACAATATTAATTTTTCCTATCCAGGATCATTGGATTGATTTCCATTTATTTGTGTCTTCTTCAGTTTCTTTTGTTATTGTCTTTTAGTTTTCAGAGTACAGGTTCACCTCCTTGGAGCAACATGTGCTTTGGAAGTCATAACAGTCAGATCAGAAATGTGGTATAAAACTTGGTTATGTTCCTGAAGTATAGCCATGTTGTAGAAAATTATATAGATACTTATACATATAATTTATTTATATTTGTAATTTGCAGAGCTAATTATGCCAAGGTTCAATGGTGCATCCTTTATGAATACACTGGAGATAAATTACAAATAAATAACAGGTACTGTGATGAGCCTGTCCCATTAGAGCCACACATTTACAGCAATGGATTTCAAGCTACTGTTTGTGATTTAAAATGAGGTTCCAGGTTAAGGAACTATTGCTGATCTTATCCAACACATCAATGGACACTTCTTAAACAACAAAGAGAATCAGATTTAAATTCATTCTTAATATTGAACCCCTAAAGTTTTATAGGTGAATGAAGCTTGAGAGTTATAGATGAGTATTCCCTGGCTTTTGAGTGTCCTTCATCAATTACATGAGGCATACTTTAACACCTGCATTTTAAAAAATATTACTTTTTCAATCATATTTCCTGATTCTATATTTCTGACCTCTGAAGATATTAAAACTTACCATGGGGGAAAATATCTTTGGCCTATTTTTTTGAGATCCTTCTGTAAACTCCAAGTTCTTGAGAGTCAGCTTCCTCTTCCTGGGACAGAATATTAGTTAACTTGTGAAAATGAATTCCACTTTCATTAGAGTAATCTTACAGTAGAATTAGTCCCCCTGAAACTTGGCATTCCCAAATTGTCTTGTCTGATCTACTTGTAAAAGGGAACACTACCGATTAAGTCCAGGACAAACAACTTGCCAGTGATGAAATGATTCCATATCATGGCCAGAAATCCTATTTCATCCATGAGATGTTAACTGTGCACAGAGATAGTAAAATTTTATAACACAGTGTATGTATTTCATGTGAAATCTGAATAGAAGCCACTGATAATCCTACTTCATTATAGATTAACTGGTACTGTTCTAGCAAATTGTATCAGACCCTTGCCTCATTTCTTCCCCTTGGTCTGATGGTCAGATGTGATTGATGTATTAGGATAGGACTGTAGTTCTCAAATCTGGCATCCCCTTAGGATTACCTGAGGTGTTTGTAAAATCACTGAGGTCCTGCTGTAAAACAGCTAAGTCAGAGTCTCTGATGGTGGAACCCAAGTGTCAGTACTGTTTTAAAAGATCCCTATATGATTCTTTATTGTTATTATTGTTGAGATAAAATTCACATTCCATAGAATTCATCCTTTAAAGTATACAATTCAGTGTTTTTTAGTATATTCATAAAGTTATGCAACCGTCACAGCTAATCTAATTATAGGTCATTTAATCACCCTAAAAAGAAATCCAAAAACTATTACAGTCTCTCCCCACTGTCTCCTACCCCACCCCCTGGCAACTATTAATCTACTTTCTCTCTGTATGGATTTGCCTATTCTAATATTTGTGCCTGTTTTAGTGCCATTTAATAAGTGTAATCACACAGTATGTGGCCTTTTAGGTCTGGTTTCTTTCACCTGGCATGGTATTGTCAAGGTTCCTCCATGGAACACGTGTCAGTACATCACTTCTTTTTATGGTTGAATAATATTCCATTGTATAGGTGTACCACAACTTGTTTACTCATTCATCAGTTGATAGACATTTGGGTTGTTTCCACCTTTTGGCTATTAAGAATAACACTGTTGTGACTATTTGTGTATAAATTTGTGTGGACATATGTTTTCATTTCTCTTGGGTATATGTCTAGGAGTAGAATTGCTGGGTCATATGGTAGCTCTATGTTTAATTATTTGAGTAACCATCAGATTGCTTTCCCAAGCAACTGTACCATTTTACATTCCCACCAACAATGCATGAGGTTTCCAATTTTACCACATCCTCAGGAATACTTCTTATTGTTCTTACTGGGTGGGAAGTGGTATCACATAGTGGTTTTGATTTGCATGTCCCTGATGACTAACAATGTTGAGCACCTTTTCATATGCTTATTGGCTTTTTGTATATCTTGTTTGGAGAAATATCTATTCAAATTTTTTGCCTGTTTTTGAATTGGGTTATTTATCTTTTACTGAGCTGTTAAGAGTCCTTTTTATATTTTGGATACAAGTCCCTTTTAAGATATGTGATTTGCACATATTTTCTTTCATTCTGCAAATTGTCTTTTCACTTTCTTGCTGGTGTCCTTTGGAGTGTGAAAGTTTTTTATTTTAATTACATCCAGCTTATCTATTTTTTCTCTTTATACTTGTGCATTTTGTGTCATACCTAAGAAGGTACTGGCTAATTCAAGATCACAAAGGTCTCCTATATTTTTTTCTAGGAGTTTTGTGGTTTAACATTGAGATCCTGTGTTATTCTCTTGTGCATCCAAGGTGAGAACCACTGGATTATGAGGCTTATGTGTACAGTAGCCTAGAGTCTCATCGTTGCAGCTCTGAATGAACATTACAAGCCTATTTCTTTAAAAAAAAAATCTAATTCATGAATGTATTAAGTCTGACCTTTGGATTCATGTGTTTTTCAGACAACATACACACTCCCAGTCTTCATGTGAATGGCTCCCTCACTCTTGCAATTGGTTCAATGAAGCCCCTGGATTTTTCCCTCCTGAATGTCCACGACCAGGACAGCAGGGTTGACGAGCTTCTGTTTCACGTTATGAGCACTCCCACCAATGGTCAGCTAGTGCTCTCAAAGGATGGAAAAGAGGTTCAGCTCGACAAGGCAGGCCGTTTTAGTTGGGAAGATGTAAACGAGAAAAAAGTGCGTTTTGTGCACAGCAAAGAAAAACCCAGGTGACTTGGTGTTCTGCTGTTTTCCTCCTCCCTCCTTCCGTCAGTGCTCTGTGCCCCCTCCCACCTCTCCATAGCTGTCCCTTGTCTCTGGGGAAGATCGATACTCCACAAATACCACATGCTTTCAGCTGCCTGTCATCACTTCACTGATTGCTTAGAGGGTGTGATTTTGTTAGGGACATTTTCATTTTGTCACATAATTATGGGTAATTCTCTGATGTGACGGAAAAGTTCCTAGTACAATTACCCAACTTCTAAGCCCAGCAGAAACAAAACCAGTTACCTACCCAGATGCTACAGCTGCTTCTTCAACATTAGGGTAATTTATTGGGAGTGGGGATGACTAGAGATGGAGTACATACTTTGCAAGGTGTTGTATGGTTCCTAGAATTTCAGAGTTGGAAGGAAGGAGTTGCAGTTAACTTTTTATTATCCAGTTTATGGGATTAAGTGTGGTTAATTTTTAGGCCTGTGCCAATTTTCCTCTGATGCCTAGCATACAGTTTTGGCTGTCTTTTCCACCCCAGCTGACATACATACACTTCAGGGATGCAGTTGGGTGTTAACACCAACCCAAGCAATAAAGCCATATAATTAGCAGAGTAAATCTACTAAACAGCAATTAGAGGATGTACCCTAAAGATTAGTCTCCTGGATTATCCTTCACCCTGTTCTGTTTCATTAGTGCAGATAATTCAGAGTAAACTATATATGTAAACCAAGAATTGAAACCCACAGGACAGTGATAAGAACACAGTGAATATCTTCTACTGTCACTACTAAACTTGAGAGATTTGGGAGACAGGTGGGTAGAAAAGTAGATGGTCAACTACAGTTATCCCCATTGTAGTTCAGAGCTGGTGATCTAGTAACCTTGGAAGATCATCTCATAGGAACAGGAACAACTAATGTTTACTGAGTGCCAACCATGACCCAGGTATTGTGTTAAGCACTTTATGTGAATTATGTTTATTCATGTTGCCAGACTACAGATAGAGAAACTGAGGCCTTGAGAGTGATGAGTAGTCTT